CGATAGTAAAATGCAAGCTAAGAAAACAGTATCTATTTAACCCCAATTTAATATTCCTAGGAAGACTGCTTTATAGAAGTCATGGATTAAGATAATTTTGCCATGCTCTAAAAAATCACACTAGCCTTAGTACGTATGCAGGCCCATTTTGATACACTGCAGCAACACCTTCTGTTGAGACTACAAATCACCATAGCAGTGTAGAAGCCCTGGTTCCCCTTAGGAAGTTCAGCAAGACTAAGAATTCACGGCTAGGTATTGGCTAGCCAAGCTACTGAGTATTTCTTCCCTGTTTTCAAGACTGTGCAGCTGAGAATATTTCTTCCTTTTAATTTATTGCAAAGGAGCTTGTAACGTGCAGACCAAAACTCAAGTTAAAAAATGGCCAGCCTGTTTGTATTGAAAGGTCTGGGAGATGAACTCTTAACATTTTGTACTCAAAATAAAAAATGGCACTGAAGCTTTAATGAAGCTTTAAGACATATGAATATTTCCTTGTACAACCTTATCAAAACATTTAGTCAGACATGCACATTCTCTCTCTCTGGCCTCTTACAATGGAGTAAGTTTTTTTTCCCCCAGAACCTACTGCCTGGTTCCAAGAATAAAATACAAGGGAAAATAATAATGCTGAAGTGTTTGTTTTCTACAGGATCCTTTTAGTTCCCTCTTATTTAGTATCAGTTTTTCTGAGCCTATATAAAAATACATATATATGTTAGCTGCATGAAGTTAGTAGGGAAAAAAGCTAAGTGTTTTTATTAAACCATTATGATCCTGGTTCCCTTAGAGAGTGTTAGGAGAAGCTAAAGCTAAGAAATACACAATTTCAAATGTTGGTGTTTTATCAATTGAAGCCAAAGAGAGGACAGAAGCTCTGAATTACCTCTCAACTGCATTCTGGGTCAAATTTCACAGTGACTCTGTCTGATTCCATTTTCAGTGGCTGGGGGGGGGGGGGGGGGGGGACTCTGTCTATTACCAAATAGTCTTTGCTGTCATTCTGTACCACATGAATCATGCAACCTTTCAAATTCATACACGTTAGAACTGGAATCTCAATTTTAAACAGAGAAAAGCAACTCCAGGTTACAGGAGATGTACCCAATAATTTCACATTACTAGCCTCACCAAACTTGCTGTTATCACAGTTAAAGTCATTTGCAACTGATAAACATCAAGAAAGATTCTTGGTGTTCAGCTCTTCCCCCTCATCTTGTAGATGAGGGATATTTCTCATGGTTTGAAGCTGCACTTGGAATAAACTGGAAATAAAAACATACAAGCAAGAGATATTATTGACACACACATATATATCAGTTATGTCTTATTTTTGACTAGGTTGCTAGCCAACTGTGGAACAGGATATTAAAATATTTGAGAGAGGGAGTTTTGGAAAGGATGACTATATAAAAAAAATTGAAGACTTTGGGAAAAAAGTTTATTAAGGACTTCATATGAAGAACAGAAAAGGGTTTATGCTTAGTTTGAGTTGATTCTGCAAATGTCCAAAAGTCTTGCTCTTACATCAAGAAAGAGTGAACATGTGAAATAAGTTATAATTACAAAGTATTGTAAGATCCTGGAGCAATGTTTCCTGAACTTTTTGGTTTATGACCTTACTTGCATTTCTTACAACCTCATATTGTAGAAAACAGATCAACTGAGTATTAATTTAATTTAGGCTATCTTTGAGTAAGAGCTAAGGAGAACTTTATCCTAATATAGTCCTTATAAAAGGACTGTAAACCTTGCTGGCACCCAGCTAATGGAGCTTGAAATGAAAATTCTCAATTGGTAAGCCCACAAGTGACAAGTTCCTTCAACGAACCCCAGTTACATTTCTTTATGCTATTTGGCATATAAATAATGTATTCATTTAATAACTATTTTTTGGAAGATCTTGCCTTGGATTCTATTCTACAGCCACAGGACTGGAATTCTAGATGAGTAAGGAAAGCTTTAGAGACAAATGTTTTCGTTTTCAAAAATTAAGTTTTTTGTGTTTGTACTATCACTCTGCAAATGAGAACCTCACAATGACAAAAATCCCCGTGTTTAAACTTTTGTACTTTTTAAGAGACTCACTGTTTTTTTACAGTACGGCTGCACATTTTATAAGCAATGCAGATTTCCAGTCAACTGGTTTACATTTACATTTGGCAAGTATAAATTTGAAAATGATCAATACAGCTGGTACTAGAAAAGCCCTACTAAACGTGTTCATGCAGAAAAAGTAATTCTGAAGGTGAAGTTCGTTTTGGTCAGGAACTGCACAGACAGCAGGGCAAGCATGGAACGCTCCTTTGCAACTGTAGCTAGAAACTGCAAGTGTCACCACTAGCAGGAATAGTATCAAAATAATTTCAACATAGAACTACAATCATCTATCCTGTGCAAAATATATTTCCTAAGATAAGCTGCATTTGCTCCTAAGAGATTTCAGTTTTATGGTTATTCTAGAAGAAATCTTGTGCAATCAAAGCCTAGGACAACTGCAGAAACAAGCAACTTGCTAACTTCCCAATAGCATATAAACCCCACTGGTCTCACATATTCAGTGACCTTGAAGCGCGTGGTCTTGGTTTGGGTGTAAGAAAGAGTCTGAGACACTCCCAAACTGAAGGCAGTATATTTTTTTCTTTAATACAAAAAAGCAGAAACTTAAACCATCAAGCAATGACAGTAAGATACACAAAATTTCATGACTGTTGATGAAAGCAAGCTAAAGAACACAAGGCCAGGGAATGCATCCGAGGGACATTCATCATTCACCCAAACATTTTGTCACATCTGCATGCAGGAATCATAAATAAGCAATAACAACATATGACAATGTTACTTGTGGTTGTTTTAAAGAAAAAGCCAAATCCTGCATTGAAAAAAAAAAACCAAACAAACCAAACCCACACTAAAAAACCCACAAACCACCACCTCACAAACACTCCACATATTTAAACAAAAGGCACTTTAAATATTTAACAAATTATAAATATTTAAGTGCAGTATGTGACTTTGATCTAGCCTACAACACAACGGTACAACTTTATAACCTCTTCATATACCCTTCATTTTCACCATATACAAATCTAAGCAAAAAACCCCAGTGACAAAGCCAAGCTGCAGTACATCTGAAAAAAAAAAACCCAAAACCAAACCCACAGTTCATGGAACATCATAATGATGCAAATGCACGAACAATACATGTTTTCAAAGGTTGTTCAGCTCTCCTTTTCTGAATCAGGCTCTACAGGCCATGCATTCAGGACAGTTATGTTCTTACTCTGATTTCCTGTTCTCTTAGCACCACTTGACAGGCATTCTCAACCCTGACCATGTCTGACCTTATTGCTTTGAATAAGCAAAAGTCTCATGGAAAGACTTCTTTTTATATTAAATGAAATAAATTAGAATACAGGGCAATAGAAACCCTAAGAGCTGGATTATAAACTACACACTAAAATTAAAAAACTTCTGATATAAATACACTCAAATGAGAAACAAGACAATTAACAATTCTTCATCTTGTTATGGATGTATTTTATACTGAGATTTGCATCTGCAGAAAAACATCCACTGTGAATCTGTCACAGCTCAGTCCTAGACGCTAAATTAACAAATTCATAATTGACACTTCAAATGCACAGTAAACATTAAACCTGAAAGTGCACAGTACATTTTTACTGAACCTGAATACAGAAAATCAATATTTTCTCCTTTATTGACAGAGATTATATTGATCTGTTAGCATTAGAATCATATAAATACATAGGTGCATGTCGTTATAGATAAAGATTTTGTAAACAGCTAACGTTAATGACATAGGACCAACCCTTTTGGCAATGGCAGTTTGTTACATAGTTGTCATACCAAAGTTCAGTGTAGAATGTATGTTTTTAACAAGATACACATTCAGAAACTATCAGAAGAATAATGTTTTATGCTATGCAGAATGCTAAAAGTTTTATCTTCCAGGTGACATAAGCTTTACTGGATTTATTGAAAGATGGTCTATGTAAGACATTAAAATCCAAGTGCAATAGGACACAGAAAGCAGACAATATTGGAAGAATTCTCAACACTTTTGGAAAACCTTACTTAGAAAACTATTGCATTTTATGAGACGAAATATGCTCTGGTAAAAAAGAATAGTCCCAATAGTACACCTAGATTTTTCACTGTCAAGTGAATGAGGTGAAAGAGCTATCAAAACTGATTAAAAAAATATAGCACCTTAAAAGTATAAGTAAGGCACACTGAGAATTAAGTTGTATTCTGCCATCACAGAATCTCTATTCAGGCTAGGCTAAAAGAATGAACTTTGCAAAATCTAGCAAGACAGAGTTGTACTAACTTCAGAATGTCAAAAAAGAAAGTATTTCTTCTAGTAAAGTAAGCAAACATAATGTAGAACATACCACATAGTTTACTGTGACAAAGGCTTACTATGATGTTCTACAATTCATGGTTGAGTCCAAGCATTTTCTCTTAAACAGACTCCTGACAAAAGACAGTGCTGTGTTTCAAATAGCTCCATCACTATCAATCAAAAATGGGCAGTTTCCAGAGAGTAAGACATTAATAAAAATGTCAAAGTGATGTATCATGCAGCAGGTCACACATACTAATCAAAACACAGTACGTTTTTAGCTTCAACAAGACATTGTAACTTTCAAAAGAAAACACCTTTATCAATTAGTTTTAGCTCTCAATTCTTATGGACTCAGTGAAGAACTTAGTTTATTCAGTGATATTATAGAATTGGTTAAAGTGCTGTAGAAAGAATAAAAACCATTTGCATTTCTCTATTAAAAACATTTTTTATTCCTCTTGAAACTTGCTTTCAGTAATAATTAACTCAAATGTTAAAACTGATGGAACGGCATTAGAAAGAAACAGCTGGTTATCTTAGAGGGCATTTATCAAAATATTTCACATACTTTGCTAAGGTACTGTGTGAGAAAAGCTTATCCATGCCCCATGTTGAACAATCTCAATAGTCATCTTTTGCTTTTTCCTTTTGATATTGCCTCTCCGTAGGTCAGGTGGATAAAGTCAAAGAGTTGCGTGGCATTGGCAGCATTACCCAAAATTTTGGAGAGTTCATCCTTTGACAGTGTCACTAGCTCTGCAATGCTTTTAACGTGGTTCATTAAGGCACGGCAGTTTTTTGCATTAATACCTGGCATTTTTAATAGGAAGTCCTGAGGACCAGGGTTATACTTGTCTGACTCGGGAAGAACTTCAGAATCTGCTGTGACAGCCATTGCTGTTTCTGCATCGGGTTGGGGATGGTTTTGTTTTAACTCTTCAAACAGTTCAGCAGTAGCGTGGGGAGATGGACACCACAGGATACGTAACTTTGGAAAATGGAGTGTGAGAAGGGTTAGTTTAGAAGTAACATCATTACTGGAAATTTCCTGATGTAGAGAGCCTCGTGGAATCAAGGAGAAAGATTTGTTAGGATCAAATTCAATCAGGAGAATTGGTCGCTTATAGTAACGGGACATAGAAATGCATTGTGCATACAGTCTTCCGTTATTTAAGGAACCGATCAGATCACTGATGCTTTTCCGCTCTACACAGATATCAGGAGTTAAAATGTAATCTCCAACTTCCAAAGTAACAGGCTCAATGTCAATACCACGACGATGAATCAGTGATGGAAGCTCACTACGAAATTCCCGCATATCCACTATTATAGTTTGCTGAACACTCTTCTGTTCCTGTCCACCTAAGGAGCAAAATAAATAGAGTTAACCTGATACTTACGACCTCTGACTCTGGTTGTGCACTCTTCCCGTGTGCTGCCAATGCCTCTGCAATGGATGGACTACACATCTCAAATTATACCTCAAATTTAGCAGTATCATAAATTCAGACTTAGATTTTTCACTGTTGCCAAATTATATACTGTAGTTTATGGAGTATGCTCTGTGGTTTTGTAGATCTATCACATTACCTGCTATAAGCTTTGTATATGTGACAGTGAAAGACGTTAAACTGTAGATGATAATTATTTAAACGCATCAGGAAAATCTTCTAAAAGTTGCCACAAAACAAGATACAGAAGCTGATCGTTTTTATTTCATCTGTCTCCCACGTACATATGGCATTTTATTGTAGGGGTTATATATTAGCCTCTTATAGATCTGTAGAAGGACACACAAAGAGACTGCAGCATTAGGGCCACAAAAGACATAATAGCAAAGATGAGAGAGCACATGGTAAAGGAAAGCAGGATTTAAAAAATGACAGCAAAGAAAAACAGGGGCAGAGCTGTCAAGAGAGTATACACGTCAAAAGAAAGGAACAAAAAATACAGCTAGAACTGCAACAAAAGAAAAAAGATGCTTTACTGCAAAGAAAGTAGATAGAAAACACAATCTGCAGTTGTTTACCCAGGCAATTCGCTTTGCCAAGATAGAAAGCAAGTCCCCAACATTTCCTAGCTCAACTGTTTTAATTCCTGTCTGCCTCATGACAAGCAATACTAGGCTTTCTCATAACCAACATGCTGCCCAGAAACAATCCAAATGGTGTCTGGCTTAATGGTAAAATCCTTCACATATTTTCCAAGAAAAGTGTAATTCCTTGTCATTGCACAGACAGAGGCAGATGGAGTAAAGGAGATACGTTTTTTCACCATCAGGACTGCAGGGTCAATGTGCAGTGTGTCTGGGACGCAGATGCTTCGGACAGGATTCAAATGCAAAAGTTACAGGTCTTTTTGAAAGCTGAGAGCCTTGAGCCCACCTTCAGGAACTGCTCACCTGCTTTGCGTGTGTCAGTAGAAGCAGAGGCAGGTTTAGCATCTCTTATTAGGTCTAAGTTTGTTTCATCTCTCCCTTCTCTCTCTTCAGGAATAACCATGCTGGCCTTCTCTCTAAGGAACCACAAAGAAAGAAACACTAAAAACTGCAATTATATGAGAAAAAAATAGATCAGAATACTTCAATACCCTTCAGTCAGATGTAAAATTATATATAGTTTAATACTAATCGCAAACCTGATGAGAAATGCATCTGACTGGGTTTTCCAGGTTGTTCCGCTAAATGCTATGTTTTTATTTTCAATTGTTAGCACTTTTTAGCATCTGATTTTTTTATTTTTAGAACTTCTCAGGGCATATGAACCAAAGGAACTAATGAGCAGTAATAGCCATATAACCTGGTGAGAAGACAAAACAAACGTTTTGTTCTGCTAAACAACATCAAGTCATAAAAGCCTTAGAAATACCTTATAAGAAATGTCATCTGCTGAAAAAAACACATTTACAGAAATAAAAATAATAGACAATTAGGGAAAAATACAAGTGATGCTGTTTAGCCTTTGAAATTTAATACTAAACACCCTGAAATTAATAAATGAAATATCAGGTGCTTTGAAAGGGAAGGTTTTGACTTGTCATTGATTCTCAGTGGGAAAGTTCTCTTTACATCCAAAAAGCAACTGAATTAAAAGTTTATTTAAAGCTTTCACACAGTTAAGAACTTCCTCTATTTAAAGTGTAAGCATATAAGGGAATCCCATTATAATTAATAATAAAGGTAGCAAACTAATTTTGTTACCGAATGAGTTTTTCGAAGGCCTCCTTCTCTTGTCTCAGAGCTGTGAGGTAGCGCTGTTCCTCGGTTGAGCCCCCATATATGAGGAAATAAACCCTGGGGGGGGGAAGAAAGGAAAAGAAAAGAGAGATCACAAAACTTCAGTTAAAAACACCCACAACCAATATTTGAGATTAGTAGCAGGACATGCCTGACAAGTTAGTATTTGCCTTAAAAAAGGCTTTTTCTGTAAAGATATCTTCTGTAAAGATATTCCAAAATCAGCAACAAAAATTCTTATATCCTGTGTTCCCTCTTTTCCCAGTGGCAGATACACGTACTGGAATTCTGGGATTCAGTCAGAGTGGACTCAGATTTCAGTCAGCCATTCAGTAAAGACACAAAGCAAGTATAACAGAGAAGTTACTTTAAAATCTTCTCAGTAGAATATATATAACAAACTAAAAAAAAAAATCAACAATCATCTTGGGTTAGGAAAAAACCCACCATCTAGGATTTTAAAATGATATATTTGTACATGGAAATTGTAGGTTCTACAAAGAACAAGCTGTCATTTATCTCACAGAGATGAACATACCGACAAATTAATTTTTTTTCCGCAAACAGGGATTTATATGGAATATAGAAGAGTTAATAATTACCTTAAGGAATTAATTGCATATAGCTTTTCAGCACAGTCATTTTTTTTCAGTTTATTTTAATTGAGGTACATTTTGACAGACTGATAGGATTTTATTCTTATTACTTTTTCATACAGTACATCTCCTAGCCCCTACTTTCACAACTGCATCTGATTTTCCTGCTCTGCAGTGTGGGAACATGATGCTGGTGGTAGATACAACACATGCTAATTACACAATTAAAAATAAATTGTACAAATAACCCATAATTATCCTCATGAAATATACTTTGTGAGTTCTGTCACTTACATCTGTGGTACAGAGCCCTTATCCAGAGTACCTGGATATCAGGTACTGACACTAAATACTGCCAAACTGATATCCATCTTCAGTTACAGTGCATATATACAAATCTTTGACTGGAAAATTACAACTGCTTTGCTAAATTCTATGCAATTATTTTCATGAGGTGATTAACGTATAAAGCATTATAATTCAAAAGGTAATTTTATACACCAATAAAGTATGTTTCAACTGTAGTAAGTAAAGTGTGTTTACTCTAAGTCTTAAGAAACTACCCTAAGTTATTTTGAGAGGTACAGGTATAACTACAGCTTACTGCATTCAAGAAATGCTGTATTAGGCAGCCATATAAATGAAAGGCAATGCAAAACCTGATAGTATACTAAATTTTACGTTTTCTCCATTTTTAATTAGTCTGTGACATCTGTTCATAACAGTTCTGTGATTTACAACTGCATCAACTATAAATACACAATGCAGAAATCTTTGTCAGCTAACACCAGAACCGAGTATAACTGCACATACTTCTTATTTTCTTTATTGCATTTTCCTTCACTTGTTTTTCTGTTACAATTTCTGAATTACTGGTCTTCAGCATGACCAGACATCAAGAAACATGAAAATTAATTAAATCCAAATGAAGCTTATTGTGTAGAAATTGTACCTATAGAGACAGTTTAGACTACAGCACCTCAAAACATATCTATTGCCACTAAGATATCTAAGCAGAGGTCTTGTAAAAGATGGAATGAACTTTTTTTTTCAGATTTTTTTTTCCCCTTAGAGGTATGTTTCTGCTGTTAAGGTACTAAATACCTGCTGGGAAGTAAAAATAGTCTTTTGGTTACATCACTTGTTATGCTTTTGTTTAATATTAAGAAGGTGGCTAAACAGGAATTAAAAGGTAGCTGAAGAACATCAGTAGGTGCATGTTCTGCCTTGACTGCTGAAAGTGCACTTTTTATGTTTTTAGACTAAAATTACCCCGACCGAGTCAACTTGCCTCAAAGGCTTCCCAGGCCTGCTTGCCTTGTAGATTTCCAGCTGCCGAACAAAAGTTAGTTCTGCGTCATATAATACAACATATCTTGGTTCTATTTCCTGCAGCACCCGAGTGAGCGCGTAGGGATCACTGCAACCCTGCAACGGATGAATAATTGTGAGCGGGTTCTTGAAAATACCGTAGTAACAATCTGAGGGCAAGTTCACATGGAAATCTTCAGGATTGGTCTCTTCAATATTGCTTTCTTGGCTACTGCTTAATTCTTTGTTATCTTCCACCTCTAACTCCTCTCTCTTTTCCTCTTCAGTTTTCCCTATCATTTGGATTATAGTCCGGTCTTGCTGCTTCTTGGTTTTATTTTGTTTTGAGGAAGCCGCAAGTTTGGCTTTTTTGGCTTGATACTCTGTGTCTGGTCTGGCATTTCCTTTGGACTTGACGACTTTTCTGTCCTCCTTAATCCATGCTTCTCCAGCTTTCTCATCCTTTCCAAAGGTTTTGTTGTACAGTCTTGTTAAAAAAGCTTCTGCTCCAGCAATAATATACTCCCTGAGCTGCGCACAGGCTCGGTCATCACTGGCACAAATAAGCACTTGCCCTGCAGTCGAGAAACAGCATCACGTTTATAAGCTGTTATGCTGTACTTATCCAGCTACACGACAGCTCTTGAGCAAATTGGTTTTAATGATCCTAGAAGCGTGCCTGCCAAATGCCTTTATGGTTGGTTGTCACAGTTGCTCTGGACTTTCAGGGAGTCTAAATTGCATGATGTTTTGTACCAAACGAGATTAGAGGAGGTTAATGGAAGTTCAGCATTCCTTATTCTTACACCATCTGAATTGGTCTAAAGGAAAACCTCATTATCTGAAATGAGGCAGATACAGCATGTATTAAAACAGACAATTACTTTTTTTTTTAAACTTGGAATAAGAGAGAACTTAATTTAGACCATTTTAATCTTCAGCCTTTGTCAGCTGTGTTAAAGAGTCTAAAAAAAAATAGATGTTTCACACAGTATTATTGACATTTGTTGGCCTTGAATAACAATTCTCCACAAGCTGACTCAGATAAACTCCTACAACGCTAGGCAAGAGAGCCAGTTCTTATCCAGAGTCAGAACACTGTGGGTGGGAGAAAAAAGCACTTTTTTACCCTTACTATTTCCTAAAATAAAACTTGGTGAAATTTAAGGAGATGAAAAGCCCTAAAATAGGAAAAGCAGCAAAGCAGTTAGCTAGAAACACACTTGCCTTCTACTCTGCCCCAGTCAGGTGCATCTCCTTGAGAAGCAAATTTTCAGGTGCATGAGAAGAATGTGTGAGATGGAAAGGGTGTAACACAGAAATATATTTTTTTTAAAACTTAACTTTAGAAGTGAGTGAATGGTACCTTGATTATTATAAATTTCCACGTTATTAGTTTTACTGGTTTTGAGACTAAGGTATCAGTACAATATTGATATAAATTAAAATATTTTTTTGTAATACTACAGGTTCTTTCCTAAACCATATTGTGTAGTAATTAACAATTTCTCCTTTAGAGCAAGAACTAAATAGGAGTTTATGTAAAACTATTCAGTTTTACATAGTTTATATACACATATACATAAAGTCCATTAAGTCCACAAATTATTAAATTTAAAACTAGCTCTTTAATAAAACTACACTAAAGAGTTAGGCTTCTCTCAAAAGTCAAGTAAAAACTAGCTGTATTGTGAAAACTTCCATCATTTAGTATTCTCTCACCTGGACCACCAAGATCTTCACTGTTCTTATTCTCATTTTCAATCTCTTTCAGTACTTCTCTCAAAGCTTCCCATTTTGGGTTACTTTCTAGAACCAATTTCCTTTTCAGTTCTGAAACAAATTAAGATTATTAAATTAGTGGTTAGTTGTCAATAGTGTGGTGATTGCTGCCAAATACAATATTCAATGGCCTACATATGCAACTTATTACGCTAATAGGTTGTAGAGCACTCTTACAGAAACATTTAAAAATGGGGATAAGTGCTTTAGTGAAGCAGAGTTAAAATATTCATTCATTCTTTAATTCTGAAACTCCTTAATACATTTTTTTAAATAAAAGCAACAGCAGCATCCTACCCGTTCACATAAAATAAAAAAGATCAAGCTAAACATCTATGTAATTCAAGAACAATTCTATAAAAACTCTCCCAATGATCAGCTGAACAATCTTAGAAGAACCTCTTACTGCTTCGTGACTGTTTTATGTTGTTTATTATATGCTTTTCAACTAAGATTATGTCTCAACTTATCCCAGCTAACAGATTGAGATCTTGAGCTGTGTAAGATCATCATAGCATAAGAAATAATATGCAGAGTGTTTGAAATCGTGTGACACTCTCAAACTTAAAATTAGGAATGATCAGTACCATTTTCCTTCTTTACATCACTTTTTTCAGAGACTTTGCCTTTCTGATTCAGCTTCTCATCTGCAATGCGATAAACTCTAGCTCGAGCATTCACAAACATTGAAGTACTGGAGTCAAGAAACAGCCAACCTAAAAAGGAAACGAAAGCAGTAGTAGTAGGTTGACATGTGCAATGTGTACCTGTTTCAACCCTTTCCAGTAAAAGCTCCAAATCTCTCATCTGGAATACCTGTGCTACCTGCTTGCTCTGTTATTACTAGCTTAATGAAAGAAACGTAATGCAAATCTCACACTGTTAAGCAACAGCAGTTAAGTGGGAAGATGAAAGCATTATCTGTCAATAAAAACCTACGTCCTTATGGCTGGTTATATAAAACCTAATTAGATACCTTCATATGTTTGGCAATGTTAATTAAAAATATCAACATTTCACTGTTTCATGCATTAACTTGTATGGTTATTCAGTGCTTACCTGAATTCTCACCAAAAGCTTTTTCACTTGCTTTCAGTGACTCCAGAAGATTAAGGAAAGTGACACAATCATACTGAGTTAGGTACAGTAGCAAAGTACGTAGTATCTTCAAATCCTGGACCAAAGATTTTGTCTTGGCTCCGAGCTGATGCCAGAGAGGATCTAAATAGTGACGTATTGTCTAGAAATATAAATTGGAAAGTTCAGGATGTCAAATACATAGTACACTAACCAAGATAAGAGTGCACTTTTTTACCTTTACAGGGAATGCCACTAGTTTCCCAAAGGTATTAAACATACCCAATTAAAGATGTGATGGTGAGATACTTGTTTTGACAAGTAATCATTTTTTGCAAAGTTAACATAATATAGATGCCTTTATATAAAACATTTCAACAGTTAGCAGAGGTATATCATTTAATGCTTTCAGTACATATTTTCCTTTCCATCTAATAATAAAATATTGGTAAAATAAAAAAAAAACCCAAACAACAAACAAAACCTTATTTTACTGGTACTGGCCTGTACCTTTAGTATCTAGTATCCTTTACTTAGGTAAATAACATTATAATGTCATTTAATTTTTAAAGTAAGTTGAGTACTACGCAGATATGCAACCTACAGAGCGTAAGAAAAACCCTCCAAATATATAAAGTACAGAGGGCCTCATATCAAGATTAAATCACAGGTAACAAATAACCATGTTTCACTGTGACAGTTGAAGTTTATTATTTTACCCTACAGAAAACATACGTATGCCAAACACTGCAGATCTGTCAAAAATAACAATGCACACACAATTAATGACATACAACGGACGCATGCATGTGCATATTATGCATTATATATAGTGTTAGTCCTAATAGAGAAAATAAAAAGTACAAGCAAGACATTCAAGAAACGGGTGGAAACAACCCCATTCTTATCTCTAAAATATTTTAAACCAAAATTGCAGCCATCTTAATAATAATAAATCAAACATGAATCAGAATGTTCTTACCACAGGGACTTTGGAAACCAAGGAAGAGCAGTAATATCAATACACCAAAAACCCTATTGGCAACTGTAACCATTACAGACACAGTTTCTCTCCTTGTACCAGTAATAAACAGGACACGGGAGAATACTCAGTTGCTGCTGGTTATTTATTTTACAAGAAATATTTTTGTTCGCATGGCAGACAGTTTGAAGATCTACATCCCTTTAGTTAGACACAGCAAAACAATCAAAACGGTTACCTTGTCAAAAGGTTTACCAATAGCATTTTCTAAAGATAGATCTTCTGCTTCGAGAGCTGGGTTGTAACGTTTGAGTTCTCTCAGACATGCGTTCAGAATGTCCAGGATTGAAGTCTGGATCGCAAGCATAGCAGGAGTCATTGACACGTGTATTTCCACCACTTCAGGTTTATGCTTCTCTAAAAATGAGTTCACTGCTATATGAAATCTAAGAGGAAAACAGCTTATTAAGATTTACATGGGTGATTAGATCTACATTTATTCAAAAGTTTGTAGAAACTACAATTATTTAATTGCTTTAAAGGTAAACAAGTAAGTTCATTGCAAAATAAATCAATTTCTACAGATGTGAAGACTGCAATATTATGAGCAGCCTCGGAAAACCATCTGTTCCACAATTACGACTGTAGTCATTCTAGTCATGCGAGCCTACAGTGCTGGTGAACGATCCATGGAAGATCACTGCACTAGATTCTACATCATTATTGCATGTAACTAATATTAAAGTAACCCCCCAAAAAATTTCATAAGGGAGAACCTGGAATGGGTTCATAAATCCTTTGGAATCACATGGATCCACCAGCAGATTCAGTGAGGATTCTGACTACAAGCCATAGGTCCCTGTTAGAACACGGCCCTTACAGCCTGCCTGCCTGCACAGCTATATAGGTGCTAGCTGAGTTTTACTAACTGGACGAGGCTCAGATGTCTGCTGACCTCAATGGGCATCTCCCTTACTGCATGCTGCACCCCCAGGTCTTGCCATGGTTCAGAAGCCAAGGAAGAACACTTAAGAGCTTCTATTCAACCTTTCCTATCCTAGTTACGTCCATTTCTACTTCTTTGTGATAGTGAAAGAACAACAGTTAAAGAGTTTACAAGGCAGAGCAACAGTATGCTAAGATGGAGTGAAACACATTCTAGACTGGACTAAAGGACAAAATGCAGACCTCCCACCCAAGGCAAGAGCACTGAATGGGTAATCATAATGCTTGTCACAAACTTGGCAATTTGGTTTCTACCAGTCATCAAGAAATATTCTTCATACAAAACATACGTGTAAATGAAGGCTAAAAAAATCTGACTTGTAGAGAGATCCATGGAGTTTTACCATGGTTGGAAACAAATACCTCCATGAATGACAGAACTGAGAGACTGTATTCCTGTTACTTAATGGCTTAATAATATTCAATAATATTTAATAAGTGAAGTTTTTCTTAAGCTATTAAGAATGTCACTTTGTGCTGCGATTTCTATTGGCTAAAGGGATAGCTATACCATAAGGTTCAGCCTCTTATATTTAATTTAGGTCTATTTTCAAAAATACTTACAGAAATTTAGTATCTTTAAGACTACTTCTTCTGTCAAAAATTGAATAAATTTTGTTTGAGAATACAAGAGGCAACACAGATTAGCAGTGTGACCGCATATACCTCATCTTCTTTGGAACCCATTGTAACATCCTTCATCTTTTTTTTAAGTTAACTCTCCAGTGAAGTAAAGAGGTGCCTTACCTTGGCCACAGATAGAGTTTCCTGACAAACAGATTTCTC